TGTTGTTGAGAGAGGATGGCCGGCGGGCGCCTGTATTCCCAGGCTACTCGGGAGGGCTGCAGGCAGAAGGAGAATGGCTTATTGAACCCCAGGGACGGTGGAGCTTGGCAGTGAGCTCGAGGATCACCCCACTGCACTCCAGCCTGGGCGACAAGAGTGAGACTCCGTCTCAAGAAAAAAAAAAAGAAAGGGAAAAAATTGTGTTGCTTTCCTGCACAACCTCACCTACAGATTGGGGCTCGTGTCCAGCTCCACGGGAGCGTATGTGTTGCGTTGACCCTGGTTCTCTTATCAGGGTTCCGAACAACTGTGCGTTGCCCATAGTCACCTGCCGGAAAACCTCACATCGTTCTTGCATGCTGTTTCTTTAAGTGCGCGGCCTCTACTGTGAATTAGGAAGGAGCAGGCCCGAAACAAGGTGGCTCACACTGTTTAATCCCAGCACTTTGAGTAGGCCAAGGGCGGAGTGTGGATCACGAGGTCAGGAGTTCAAGGTCAGTCTGGCCAAGATGGTGAAACCCTGTCTCTACTAAAAATATAAAAATTAGCCGGGGGTGGTGGCGGGTGCCTGTAATCCCAGCTACTTGGGAGGCTGAGACAGGAGAATCTCTTGAACCCGGGAGGCGGAGGTTGCAGTGAGCCGAGATCACACCATTTCACTCTAGCCTGGACAACAAGAGAAACTGTCTCCAAAACAAAACAAAACCTAGCGTGTGTGCATGGGGGGAATGGGTCCCTGTGACCCACCACGGACGCCCAGCCCACACAGTGCCGTCCTAATTTCTCACGTGAGACCTGGACCCCTCACGTCTCAGCTTTTGTGAAGGACCAAATGAGGACCGGCACAGTCAGACTCTGATCCTATGGGCCCAGCCCTGCCCTTCTGGCTGGAAGGGAGGGGCCTGCCTCTCATGCAGGGGCCATAAGGCCTGGGTAGGTGACATCTGCCTCTGGAAGTGCCCCGCAGAGCCTGTGCCTGGGGCAGTGGGCAAGAGCCCGTGGAGGCTGAGGGACACACTGCCCCTCAGGCCTGGCTGGGAAGCCCAGCATGTACCTGGGCTTGCTGCCTCAGTCTTCCCATGTGTGTAGAAGGGGTAACTATGGTGCTGGCCCACGGGGTGTATGGAGAATGAAAAGAGTGGAAATAGCGTCCAGCGTACCGCCTGTCACAAGGTTACCCGTGATCTCAGTGACAGTGAGGTCTTCGATTCCACCTCAGGCCTCACCTAACCACCACCCCCCGCCCTCGCCCTGGCACAGCTGCCAGGGAGAGGCAGAAACTCACTCCCGCCCCATCAGGGTCACAGGGGCCTGAGGCTGGAGGGAGGGAGGAAACAGCTCCTCTCCTCATCCCTGTATTTTCAGAGGAAACGGGCTGAGAGAAGCAGAAGGGAGAGCTCCCAACCTAACCCCCAACCCGGGCTGAGAGGAGAGTCAGCAGCGGTGAGCTCCGCCCTCCAGCCTCACTGCCTGGCTCCTCAGTCCCCGCCATCTGTCTCAGGGCGGGACTCCCCCTCCCAGGGCCTCTCTCCTACCTTGTCCTCAGCTCCATCCACTGCTGGCTGTGGTCCTCCAGCCAGGACAAGCGGAGACAGAGGCCTCTGGCTGGGAGCCCCGAGGCGGTGTCCAGCACATGGGTGGTCAGTGGGCTGTCCGTAGGCTCCATGCTGCTGCCCTGGGCCAGGAGAAGGAGACCAGGGTGAGCCTCCGGAGCCCTGTGCCCGCCCACCCACTCCAATCCTGTGTCCACACCAGCTGTGGGGCATAAACAGCCCTCTGGACAAGTTCTCCCAGCTGCCCAGGGGACAGGGGGCAAGGGTGACTGGAACTGCCTAGTCAGCTGATAAGGCACCAAACGTAAACAGCGCGACCTGTGCCTCCCGACCCTCCCCCACCAATCCCTCTGGCTCCCCTGCCCCACTGGGGACACCCACTCTCCCACCCACGCCCCCACGAAATGGCCATCTCCCCCCAGGCCCTCAGTTCCAGCCCCTGGGGTGGTTCTCCCGGAACTGGGCTCTCCTCCGCGCCCCGATTCCTGGGCCCTCGACGCTCAGCCCCCCGCAAGCAGCTGAGGGCACAGGAGCCCTGCAGGTCCAGGCCTGGCCCCCTAACCTCCTGGGGTCCTAGGCGTCGCTGGAGCCTCAGCAGCCGCGGGGCGGCCCGGGAGCTCATCCTGCCCTGCCGGACTGCGACGCCCGCGGGCAAAGGGAAGGGCGGGGCCGGTCACCCTGTCCCGGACCACTTCGTGCCCACCAGGAGGGCCCCAGCGGGGCTTTGCCCAGGAAGGGGGCGCTGGTGGGGAATCAGGGCGAACAGACCTGGGGCCCGAAAGCGGAGTCGCGAGGACCTGCTCGGGGGTGGGTGGGGGCCGGGGGCGGGGCCGCGGCGAGAGGGGGCGGGGCCGCGTTGAGAGCGGGGGCGGGGCCCGGGGCGGGGCAGTGGGAGGGGGCGGGGCGGGGGGCGGGGAGACGGTGCTGTTCTGCTCTGGGACCTGGAAACTTTTTTTTTTGTTGAGACGGAGTCTTGCTCTGTCGTCTAGGCTGGAGTACAATGGCGCGATCTCGGCTCACTGCAACCTCCGCCTCCTTGCCTCGGCCTCCTGAGTAGCTGGGATTACAAGCGCCTGCCACCACGCCCAGATAATTTTTGTAGTTTTAGTAGAGATGGGGTTTCACTGTGTTGGCCAGGTTGGTCTCGAACTCCTAACCTCGTGATCGGCTTGCCTCGGCCTCCCAAAGTGCGAGGATTACAAGCGTGAGCCACCGCGCCTGGCCGGGAACGTCTTTCTTCTTGTCAAACTGCGTTTCCAGTTCTTGGGTGGTCAGCGGTGGGTTATTTGTAGATGAAAAATGAGGCCACTCAAAGTCAAGGGAGGAGACCCCTCTCAGCAAAGGTTGGGAGTATTCTGGCTTACAACTACTTTGGGACTAGTTAGGAAACATCTATTTGGGATTCAAACACACATGACATTTGTTGTGGATTCTGCCTGCTTATAGGAGATCAATCCAAGAGAGGCTCACACCTGTTATGGCAAATGCCCCATGGGGCCAAGAGATCAACAGACAACCAGACTGGCCCGTTGGAAAAATTACCTAAACACCCAGGGGTACTTGCGCCCCTTTAAAAAAGCATGAGGCCCAGCTTGTGTGGTAAATGAGAATTCTCCTGCCAAACACACTAGTGACAAAGGACAAAACAGTGTATAAAGCGGGGCGGAAGCCTTGTAATTCGTTCTCGCGTTTCCACAGACTTGCAAGGATTAGCTAATTTTAATCCTCGTAACAACTCATGCTGTATTGTTGTCCCTACCTTACAAAGCAGGAACTGAGGCACAGGACAGGGCCATGCTATTCGGAATATTTCATAAAAGGAGACACAAAGTCATCCCAGTGACCACCTCCCTAGACGATAGCAGTTGCAGACTGGAGTATCATTTATTTTTACTCTTTAACCTTTTTTGTACTCTAGAAAAATTCTAGTGGGCCTGCTATCACTTTTTCAAAAAGCTCTCAAATGTTAATAATATAAGTGACAAAACTAATGATCAAGTCCTTTTGGGGGTTACCATGTAACCTACCCCTCTCCTGAGACTCTCCCTAGCAGGGAAGGAGAAGCTAGCTGGCCTGAGAGGAGAATGCAGACCCAAGGAGTGTGTCAGACATTCCTCTCCTGGCCCTCTCCAGGGTAAATCCCCCATCTTGCCACCACCTTAGACCAAGAGGGACTGCAGGGTCCCCTTTCCACAGGGAAACTGAGAACCCTCAGATATGCCTGACCTCCCTGGCACTCTGCCCCTCTCTGAAAACCAGGGGTCACCACTGGGATGTCATGTGCTTGCTCCTGGAAACTTCCTTCATGAGATGACCAGGCTCCACACCCCAGGGCTTCTTTTTTTTTTTTGAGACAGAGATTCGCTCTGTCAGCTAGGCTGGACGTGTAGTGGCACGATTTCAGCTCATTGCAACCTCTGCCTCCTGGGCTCAAGCAATTCTCCGCCTCGCCTCCTGAAAGTAGCTGGGATTACAGGTGTGTGGCACCAAACGCCGGCTACCTTTTTTGTATTTTAGTAAGAGGACCAGACGTTTCACCATGGTGGCCGATCGGTCTTGAAATCCTGACCTCCAGGTAAATCTGCATGCCTTGGCCTCCCAAAGGTTGCTGGGGGATTACAGGTGTGAACACCGCGCCCGGCTGAAACCCCTGGGGCCCTTTACATGGCCCTTCAGGCAAATTTGAAAAAGCGCACAGCCGTCCATCTTCAAGGACCCCTATCCCCTCCAGAAAATTGTCATAATAAATATCCAAGTACCTATCTTTGGTTTTTAACATAAGTTATAATAAACATACAAACAAACATTTCAAA